TGGCCATTCCGGTTCACAAGAGCCAGTGAAAGCCTAGTTCAGCAAAGGATTCTTTACCATAGAGAGACGAACCAATTTGGTAAATCGCCGGTGTGCAGAATATCAATGTCTTCATGCATAACTATAAGACTGGACGGTCGTTTCCGCTCAAGAACCATGTTATGAACAGTGAGACTTCCAAAGGAACCTTCAGTTGGTATCCGGGCAAACTTGTTCGTACGGAGAAGCTAACAACTTGTCAGGAGTAATCTGTTCGAAGCGGAGCCATTTTAAACAACCTTAATTAGATTCATTGCGGCGGGTTCTTTCGGAGTTCACCGAAGTTCATTGAGCCCGTTTGTTGTTTCAACTCAGCTTCAGTTTGGAGCCCAAGAAGTTTCTCTATTACGGACAGAACCTATTCAAAGTAATCGGGAAAAGACTGTCGTGGATTCTCAAAACCTGCATCTGCCTGAGGAGAGAATGATAGAGTTATATCTTATGAGAAGAATAACAGGTAATCGATAACCCACAAATATGAAGCCATGGGCAAAAAATGTATTAAGCAACCCCGATAGTGAGAGTGGTCAGGGGGCCTCCTGCTTTCCTTTTCACCTACAACCTTGGATCCAATTATCACTTGGTGAAGTAATTGATATGAGGAGAGAAGCTGTTGAAATTATCAGCCCTAAAAGCACCATAGAACGACACAGTCCGGATGATAATTTCAATCACTCGTTTAACTAACTGCATTATCAAACCGGTGGAAAGACAGACCGAGTTGTCCAATAAATCCGTATGGCTTTGACGAAAGCAGAATATAACAGGGATACCTTGATACAAGAGGCGGTTTAGCCGAATTTGTTCCACATTGGAACATAGTTACTTCATCAGGATTGGGGATATCCCTATTGATGATAAACGTTTGATGCTGATGCTGCTTAACACTAATCGGCACCCCATTCACCTAGTCATCTAACATTAGTGCAACCGATAGTGCGTTGATTTTTGTGTACACAAAAGAGCAGGGGCTCTGAATAGCATAGATGAAACTACTTCAGACAACCGACATACGTAGTTGCAATGTTCTAAACAAACGTTTTTCAAACTGATCGTGTCCGACACAAACTTTCGTTAGGCACCCTTCCTCACACGAATCTATGATTGTCACCGATTTGTGTCGATCGGCACTGGAGGAACATATTTCTTCAAGAACTTTAAGCGGTTAAAATACGATTGATTTGCGATCCAACTCCAGTCTACTTCATGGTCATTTATAATCAATCATTTTCGCTGCGGAAAGTCGATAGATATGCCAACGTTCGGCCGTTGCTATTTGCGTAATGATACCCATAAAGAACTCAGGTACGATTTGGAGTACATTTTGCTCAATTTACAGATCAAGAGTGTGTTTGTATTACGATAAGTGTCTTTTCCGCCCCATCGGGTTCTTAATCTACGTAATCCATACATATCTGATCTTTTACTGTTTGGAATTCTGTTTCTGGGCAGACGATAGGCGGTTTGAACAAATCGAGACAGTCGACTTTTTAATTCGGACAATCACTGATCTCAAAAGATAAGCACACTGTCGTTATATACGCAGCCGTGGGTGTAAGCTGCGAATCAAAATACCAACTATTTAAATTGTTCGGACCAAATAATGATAAACTATTTTGTTCAATTCTGATTAAGTCTTGAGCCTAAATTGCTATTTATACTAGTTATGCGATTTCAGACTTCATGCCATAAATTTAAGATTTTATTACCAAACAGTATTTATTCCCTGTTGTAACATTTCATTACTTTGTTGCTTGTCCTAAGCTGATGGACTTATTAAAAAATAAATACGCAGTAATGGAGAGCCACGTCTATTAGTCTTCGGCTGCTGATGTTTACGTTGAAGCGAGCTTGTAAGCAGCTCTAAGGTAAGCTGCCACACATTTGACTCCATGGAGAATGCGCTAGAATTCAGATCAGTGGGTTTCACTGTTTAGGGCACGTATTGCGCATGCCCGGCTGTCGTCTACCGTACCCCGCCTTAAACACACTTGAAGCTCCAGGTTGGAAGAAACCACGGGCAGGTAAACAGAAGACGTGGAAATGCACAGAGTGATTAGGTAGAATAGGTGTCTCCTGCCTTCCAGGTTGGGGTGCAAAAGCTCTGTAACTGGCTGGTTGGAGACACTGAAGGATATGGCGACTAACCGACAACAGTGGCGTTCTTGTTGTCATTTCGTATCCGGTGGGAATGATTGAAAATGTATGTANTGGGAATGATTGAAAATGTATGTATGTACAGTTAGGTTTTACACTCCGTGTATTGATCGTAGAGGTTCATTTTATTTTCCGGTACCCACTTAAACCTTGTCACTCTGCATCTTGTTCTTTATCTTTTAATTTCTGCACATTTTCAGCATCACAGCGATCAACGAATTTCTCTTCACTGCATCTCGCTGTACTATGATGATGATAATCATAATGATGATTCAGATGATTCAGATGATGTTGGTGATGATAATGATGATTATGATGATAATGATGGTGATGATTCGGAAGATGATGATGATGATAATGATGGGGCATTGAAAGTCATATGTATATCCACCTCTTACACGCTTATACAGGAATAGCTGTACCAGCTGACAGCTACGAAACAACATCAAACACGGTGAAAGTTTCTCATGATCAATTGGAAGTTAACGACCTACAGCTATCCAATCTTTGATCATTGCAAAACTATGAGTAACAAAAATGGGCAATGTTCTCACTGAGGTTTAGTACGATTAGTTTGTCGTTCACACCGTGTTTCTTTTTGGACGGCATTTTCGGATTCGTAGCGTTCTTGGTGTGACTACCTCCTCTCGTATATTCTCGACCAACAGGAAAGAATACGTCCTTCCGAAGTATACAGAAATGTAATGAATAGCATTGCGTAACCACTGGTTTTCTTATTGAAACTCAGCCTAATGTCCTGGAGTGTTGGAACTATTTCCTTCTGTGTAGCTACTTTTCTCTTTTCTGCATTGCAGGATTTCTTGGCGCCAGGTATCGAGGTGTACGACAGTAATCAAAACCAAAACAGGCTTGACAGCACAGTTAGTTTGAATGGATATCATGACTTCCAATCTTCCGGTTCATCAATCTACCTTCGTATACCGGCCAATAAGTGGAACGAAGCAACTCATCATTTTGGCTTTCGTATGAATATCGGTAAGCAATCCAATCGGTATGGTTTGCTCTTAAGGGTAGCGGAGAAATTTCAATTCATTGCGAGCATATCACTGAATATGGATGACATTAGACGAGTAAATTTAGCAGACCAAATCATTGGAAACTCACTGGAATGGATTTCTCAATCTACTAACAAATTCAATTCGAGGATAACCTTGTCGTGTCATAATACTTCGACTGTTAAATGACAAGAAAGTTGACAGAGCTGTTCCCTTGGTGTGGTAGTTTTGTTGTTCAGCTGATATCCCACCAAAAGCTTCGAGTCGGAACTATGCTTCACGCCTCTGAACGCGAAGAGCGAGTTCGGTTGATGGTCTGCTACCACGAGGTGACTGGCAATGGGAGACATCGGACTCGTCGACTTATTCTGCTTTGGTTGGCTGATTTGTCTCATCGAAACCAGCATTTACTTAGAAAATATGCTCCAGAATGTACGAAAATAACTTTGCTTTGAGAGGTGCGATACGCACTTTGAACTTGTTCCGAAAGGCTAGGATTGATATGTGAACTGCCCGCTTGGGTAACATCATTGTCAAGGAGATCTTTCACGTGAAATGACTGTGTCGGCCACTTAAATCTAAGTCGTGCTTCCCGGAAACGGTTCACACCATAGTGCAATCAATCGACAACACTCAAATTCATAGTTTGATGGGTTTGACTGTTGCAGGGGGGGGGAGTTCATATTAAGTATGTCCACGCCATTGAGTGAGAATTCGAGAACAAATTTTCCAGGATTAAACATATTTGAAACTTTTGTTCCAAATAAACAGCTCACACAAAAACTGAAAATAAAATAACAGTAATAACACAATCGCCTCGATGGAATACCAGAAATACCGAAAGTTCCTATTGTCCCTTTATAAAGCGCGGCCAAGGCGACGTGGTTCTCCAATGCGTGAGTTGAAGCTCTACTCTCAATTTCAGTGCTGTTAAATTTCTTTGAAATAGTCAAAACTATTGACTGCCTTTATTCGGGAAAGTGTGTTCAGTGTCCACATCGGTCATCACACATTCCAACTGGCACCAGATTCTGTCACTTATGCCAACACGAATATTGTTATATCTATCATGTATTTGTCTAAAAGATATCCATCACAGTATTTAGAACAAATGCAGTTTCGTGAAACGATTGCTTTTGAATAACCCATTCACAAGCTCTTCTGACAGAGAACATGGAAAACGCTAGGAAAATGATCACACACTCGAACACATTTGATTTATGAATAAGAATTCATCACGGTCAAATTACTTGACTTAGTCACCCGACGAATTGAATTAGCTTGCGGTCTCAGAGTGACTGAACGGTGGACTCATTTGGTCCTGGTTGATTGATCATGAACCGTGGAATCCTGCATCACTGAACCAACGCTTTTGGTGGCAGCCGTCAGGAGTCAGCTTCCCTACCCAGATCTCCACGGTTATCGTTAGAGTGTACGTTTGGACTGAAGTTCGAAGGATAATTCCTTCAAATCAATCATTAAAACTTCTATCAACCTGCAATGTGCCACTGCTGTAAATCGCTCGCGTTCGATATGAAAAACATCTGACCACGTTGCAAATAAATGGCCTGCCTGAAACTATAGCCCATTTCTAATTCTTTATACACAGGGTATGCCGTAAACAGGCGAACCTTATTCTCATCAAGACAACCGTAAATGCGCTACTCGTAAGTCATAGATCGGTCACTCAAAGATTTTCCTCCGAATTCAGTTCCAGGGTGTTCCCAAAGGTTGACGATACCTGCGACGCTTCAAATACCGGTCAAAACAGGGCGGAACCCCACAAGAATGGAATGTGCCTGGTGGCTCACGACTCCAGACTATGATCAGAAAAATATTGACATCAAGCTTTCGTCGGTAAGTTCCCTAGGGGATAATACCTCACAGCTACTTGGTGTCCACGTGTCGTGTTCCAGCAGTGCAAACGTTGGCAGTGTGAGTGGTCACCCTGTGGTGTAAATGGCTCTCACCATGGAGATGCCGCTGCAGAATTAGACCACCGCCTGCTCTGTCAAAATCACGCTTCGCTGTTAGATAGACTGACTATCACAAACCGCAATATGTTATGCCACTCCCAATCTTAGTGCTGGAAACTCCGATTTCCGTGATAACAGTAACGTGATTCATTTCAAATGATTTTCAAAACTGATCGGGCAACGTTTAAAAAAATAGTTACTCCACTTAATGGGCTGAAAAACAGTCAACATCAATGGTTTCAAAATCAACCCTTGTGAAAACATTCGTTAAGAGATTGCCAGTTCAGTCATCATCCCATGCAAGAGCTCAATTGATGGCAGATTATCACCTAGGAATCCTGTTTACTGTATGCCATGTGTTTACTACTCTACTCTTCCTTTCCTACCGAGTCATAATCCTGGAGACTCGAGCTAAGTTGAGAAAGAACGGATACCCGTAACAAGCTCAAATAAATAGGTTGAGCTATGTCTTGCATATGCGAAATTGAAAACTGTCTAAGCAGCTGCCCGGTGACCGAGTGGGTAGTATGCTTGCGTTCTATCCCTGTGGTCCCGTGTTCGCGATCCCCATTTGGGTCGATGAATTCGCACTACTGCTCATGAGACCCAACCAGATCAAAACAGCTGTCCAATGCTTCCCAACCTTTCAGCTCACACGAACTCATCATATAAACAAATTTAATCTTCCATTGCTCTCATGCCTTCCATATATCGTCCATTATATTTCCACTCTCTCGTTTCAGTGTGTCCCCGACGACAAGGACAATTGTTATCTGTACTATGTTCGGCTGTGGGACAGTCGTGGACCGGACAAGAGGAGATTGAACAAGATTAATGATACCGACATTATTTCCTATTCAACCCGATCGAGTTCGGTTATCGTGGAATATTTCGGTTGTGAGGCCGAAATGCCCATTCGCTTGGATATCAGTTTGAGCGAATAAGGATGGTTGATTTCAGCCCATCGTTTTTCTGTTTGGATGAATGGGTTGGATTGTGTCACGGTTACGTTCCGCCTATTAAATCAAGATGATCTATTCGTGCAGCTTCACTGGAATCTATTCGGTCGTGGATTCATCAATAAAGCCCCGTTATTCAAATGTTGCCAACATTTTGCAGATCAAAAGTAGAATCGAACAAAATCCATGAACTTCCGAATGCAAAGGATCCCGATTTATGTCAAGGAAATAGCTACCGATGAAGACGTTACGTTTGTACTTCAAACTGTGTAGTCTCAGACCCGTAACCCAGTAGCAACTTAGAACAACCGCATGCAGGTTAGGATAGATTTATTACGACTCGTTCAAAATCAAGCGTATCAAGCGTAAGATCAACCAAGCAGCAATGGATCTAACAGCCAATCAGGATGGGGTCCATGTCGACCGGCAGTATTGGCATGGACAAGCTCGAGCTTGATAGATCTGAATAAATATCAATCGTAACATCTATGGAACGCGCAAATTAAGGATGCACAGGTTGGCAGAACGTAGGAAATTAAGCCGCAGGTACTATTTGGTGTGCGTGTGTGTCGAGAGATAAGATAAAGAAGGAAAGTAAAAACCCAGTGGTGATCAAGTAAACATGAATTGGAAGATAAAAATGGATAACTAGTGAGACGGATGGTCCTACGTTGAACATGAATAAAAAGCTAAGGAGAAAGAGCTAGGAATTTTTGAAACACTGGGTCTCCTTTGCCGTTCGTATCAAGACTGAAAGGAGACAGATGTCGGGAGATGTTAACAGTAGTCGATCGCTGATGTAAAACAAACAAGCACATCTAATTTGCAAATCTTAGTAAATCAATATGTACAGATTGACAGAGACTATTTGAATTAAAGACAAGAGGTTAACTCCACGGAAAGTGAACTGATCGCGTCAACGACTTTTGGGCTCACAAAACGGGAAGAGGTAATCGGATTAGCAATACCTCTCTTATTGCCAACAGTTTTGCATTGCAGTTATGTAATAAGTGTTTGAAAGGGGGAGCGGGATCAATTGTGTGTTTGGTTATCATGAGGTGGCCCCGAGTTTCGTGTGACCAACTGACTCTTGAGTGTGGGTTGAGGCATCGTCTTCACCAACCACTTTGGAATGTGTTCGGCCATTCGTTGTAAAAGTTGACGGTCGTTTCTGCCCATGTATGCGTCACCACAAATGCAGGTGAACTGGTATACAGTGTGTGATACAGAGCTGGATTGCCAACCATGTACACGTTTGTCAAAACCCACTGTACGAGTAGAAGCAATAAGTCGAAGTTGGGCAGCTGGGAATGTGTGGTTCAGAGCTAATTTTATGTTTTGGCACACATCATTCAGAAGGTGGCCGCCTTTAGGAAATAATCGAGTACAGACGGCTTTCTGAGGAGCACTTAGGGATGGGTTACCTTTCTGAGATTTTTTACTATGGATATCAATGAATCTTTCGGGGCACAAATATATCTGGAACAGAGTTCTCACGAGTCCACGCTTGTAAGCCATAGGTGAAAAGTAAGGGAACTGTAGATACTGACTAATCCATGTTGTTTTTTTCGATGAGTATAACGTTGTACTGTGTCATCTAAGCGTCTAGTAATTCTCATATCCCCCAAAACATCTATAAAGCTGACTTTGTACCACATTGTAAACGGAGTTGCTCGCAGTTGTTCACATGACTGGGCGACACAATATTTGCTACACTTCCTAATCCCAAAATGACTGTAAACAAGTAGGTGAAAAAAGTTCAGTCAATGATCAGAACTCAAGAAGGGGGTTCGTTTGCGTTTGAGAGTGAGCTGCAAATATAAAAATGCTATTCTTTCCACATGATGGGCGATCAAATCCAAAAAACGTGTAGTAACTGTACGCTCCAGATTAGGATGAACACAAATCACTGAACTGGTGTGCGCTAGCTGCAATTGTTTGAACACGATTTACAGGGTCAATTGGTGAAATACAGATCAATAATCATTAGACCTGTCGATACTGGTAAGATCGATAGCGAAACCGATCAATCACGTGACACTCTATGCGAGTGAGCTATGACATGATCTGATCACAACGTGTTTATCGGTTCATTTTCAATCAAAAAATTGCTCATTGTTGTCTTTCCACCCAACCAGGTATCAAACTTGGGAAATCACAGGCAGAACACAAGTATACTACCCACCCGGCTACCGTGCAGCTGATCAGGTTTCTGTTTTTGAATATACCCGATTTAGCACAACCCATCGTTGCGAGCTTGCTGCCGGTATCGGCTCTCGTTCATCTCAGCCAGAGCCTCCAGGGTTACAACTCGTTTAGAAGCTTTCAAAAATTGATCATATGTTGAATGAGAGTGCTGGAGGATGTGATTCAATCAAATGTGATGAAATCGCCGAGCAACTGAGGCGTGAGCAGAAAACACTGGACAGCTCTTTGGATCTTGTTGGGTCTCATCAGCATTGCGATTCCATTGACCCAAATAAGGATCGACACCAGTCAACCAAATAGCTACAATCTGTATATTCCTACATAAACACGGGCGGAGTTGCCGTATATAGGCTATTCAGATGGTTGACAGCAGACGTTCGCACTACCAAACAGGAAAAATGATCAGATAAAACTGTCACATCAAATAAGCGTATAGATTTTCTTAAAAAAATAGTAAGAATTAAAAATAGTCGTGTACCCAAAATAGAAACCACAGTAAATTTCGCACAATTGCATGTACGCGTAGCATTCTATAATTGTTGGAAAATCTCACAGGTCAAGAGGAGCGTGGATATTCGTGATAACTGCCAGTTTGTTTACAGTAACAGACCACCAACCTTGACATTTCTGATCAATTCTGTTTAGGTCTCGCTGAAGCACACTGTCAATGCCTTTTGATTATGTTAAGCTCACTAAAATAGTGCACCCATTTTGTGACCAGATTTATACGTTCATGTGTTTTGCATCATGGATGTTTGCCTCTTTTATTTGCTACGGTTCTTCGGTCTTAATTCTGCTATCTATTTCGTGAAGGGCACAAATGTAACGACCTTTTTTCATGCTGGCATAATTAGTGCGGCTGACTTTCTGCATTTTCCTCAAAACAAGGTGGGTTGGACGGCATACTCACTTTTGTCTCCCTGCAATACAAACGCAACCGGGTCAGATGTTTATTATAGCGAGCACGTGCGATTTGCAGTGTTGATACACTATAGTCCAATATACCTTTTATTCATGATGTAATTCGGTCAAATGGTTACCCGAAAGCTTTTATTGATAAACATATACGATCGAAGACCAACACGAGAAAACGCAATACCGTTCATCGCAAGAACGTTTTTCTTACCGTGTCGTTTAAGGGCGACGAACCTCCGCAGCTGAACCGAATACCCTCACTACCACTCTACCCTTGATTTCCCAGAAAATACAAGATAAGTTGCCTGATCAGTCAAAATCCTTAGCTTAACATCTTTTCACGTGCACTTGTAATGTACGATACATCGGATAAATAACCAGGGAATTATCAAAAACTATTGATGAGCACTGTCCTACGGCCCTC